ATTTCATCAAAAATCGTTTAGTGTTAATTTCAATCACCAGCAAAAACCATTTTTCCTGAATATCACTCTTAACCAAAAATATTTATTATAATGACATAAAGTTTCAATAATAATTTAAATATGATTTATAATTACATTGATTGCTTAGCTCTCATATCATGTTGCATGCTATATTATATTTCATTTGGCTTTAATCCCAAATGTTAAGTCTCCCACACAACAATGAGCCAACTATTCTAATCCATTATGCTAATCTTTCAGTGCAACATAGTTAACAAATAGATTTTTGACATCAGGAAACAAGATCACAAACAAAGAAAATCATCAGAGATTAAAAAGAAAAAACTTTCCACAATAAGAGACTGATATTCAAGTAGAAATCAGAGCTTTAAAAAACAGTTACAGCTTTAAAAAAACATAGCTTGGTGAGTAATGAGCCATAATCAAGAAGTTCAAATACGGGAAGTGGAAGAGGTATCCTTAAAATGGAAAAAGTCAATTGTGATACCAGTTTACTACAAGAATATTTCCGATCTGCACAACCGTCTACCGCTTTACCTTGAAAGAAATATTGGAGAGTTCCAAGGAGAATTCAGTCCTGATAGATAAATGGTAGAACACTTTTTCAACCTCAAGTAAATTTTGTAAATATTAAAGAATTTAATAACACCATCTGGGTGGATGCTATAGACTTCAAGAATGCCTACGACACAATATTTGGATGCGAGCTATACCAAGCTTTGAAATAGATTACATCCAGGCCAAAGTAGATAAACTAGCAATGACGATTAAAGAACAAAACCTGCAGAATAATGGACAACGGATTAATTATATAAATATTCCATATCTGGACAATCCTAAGAATTGAAGACTCTCGCACCGCTGCTATTTAACATAGTTGGCAACCATTGGTTGCGTATTATATCAGTAAATAACTGATTACTGATTACAGGAACCATTTTCAACAGTAATTTAGGAATTATTGTCAATGCTTGTGATCTGGTAATAATCGAAAGATCGCTGACTCATATGAGAGAAGCGTTTAAACAGATGGAGCATTGAAGCTGCTAGTTTGGGGCTACGGGTGAGCGATTACGAACGTTATTTATTAGAAAAATGAAACAAAGCCATTAGAACAATATTTTGTGTTTAGTTTTCATTATCTACCTAATAGTTTAGAAAAAATCCTGATGAGATAGAAGAAATAAGTATGAGGATCGGATCAGGTAATAAAAGATACTTTGCAATATCTAAACTCCTGGAAAGCACACTTCTCAGTCAAAGTCGAAACTAACTTTCTTAATCTCTAATCAAACAAATGGCGACCAATTCATGTGAAACACTCGCGGTAATTAAGTTAATTACAGAAAAGCTGAACCGGTTTAAAATAAAGTGTTTATGAAAAATATTTGGTTCGTTTGAGAAATCATCGCCCTACCTACAAGGAAAAGTGAGGAATATTATAATTTATATAGAGACTTAACGATTTCAAATTTTAGTTAGAAATACGTGCTCTGATATAATGTTTGCGAATTATATTTTATTGGACGTTATTGTTCTTATTTCACTTCATCTATTAACTAGTTCTCATAATGTAACCTCTTTTTAATGCTCATATAGCCTCTCAGCGTAGAACTCGAGCCTCAGTTTGCTTCCGCCACTTACGCCGATTTGGCACATCTGAGACCAATCTCTTCCTATCCTTCTCCCAAGTCCTTCCAATTACTCGCTGTAAGTCATCCTTGGTCCTACAGGTCTTCAGGCGTCTGCTTTGGCATTCCATTTACCATTTTGTCCTCCATGTGTTTGGTATTCTGCAAACGTAATCAAACCCATAAATTTGACGTTCCTCTATATTACTGTAACTCAGATTGTATCCAGTTCATCCCGAACAGCTTTGTTTTGGATGCGCCATTTTTTAGTTTTATCTATGATTGTACTGAATAAAACCTCTGCAGTGGTTATTCCTGAGAAACACTACTCCATACTCTGTTATATGTAGTAACATATGCAAGAATATTCTTTGAAAGATGAAAAACTTGGTGTCTCTCTTTTACCAATTATTGTGTTCCTAATCTGGTAGAAAACACCATTAGCTTAAATAACTCTATAAGAGATTTCTTGATCAAAGCGTCTGTCTCTACCTAAAGGTGTATACAAGTATTCAGAGAATTTACGCATTCCATGCTAACCCTATTACAGGTGACGTTCAGTTGTTCCTCTTTTCATCCGATTTGCATTATTTTTCTTTTTGCTGCATTTATCTCCACGCTATTTCGAGAAATAGTGTATCTCTTCATTATACCACTGCACTTTGTAGATTTTCTTTTGATTTTGCGACGAAATTGATTTCGAGCCTAAGGTCCTTATCTCTTTATAGCATCTATAAATGTTATAAAGAGATAAGGCGCTTAGGCTACCACCTTTTTTTATCCGTTATCGAAGAAAAATGGTTTGGATTCTTGTCCTTTGAGACGGGCTACTCCTTTGGTTTTTTGTTATGCTGACAATATTGCCTCTATGTTTTTAGGAGTCTTATTTCTGGCAGCTTAGTACATACAAACTGCATTTTATATCCAATAGTTCAGAGGCAAATGGGTCGGTAGTTTTCACGCTCGCTCTATTTATAGTCAGAAATATATTAGAATGATAACATAATATTTGTATTCCTTGATAATTTTATTTTCATTCGGGATTTTTTAAAAATGCATCTGGAGTTTCCTTTTTATTTCTTTTCCTCCAGATTTAATAAATCTGAGAATGATATTACCTCTTCTTGTTGACTTCCTTAATTTCGCGTTAGACTATGTTTTCTATATTTCGTCCTTTAGAATGCAGTGTTCATATAGTTCATGTTCTCAACTAGTTCTTCCTCCTTATGCTCCTTAACCCTGGATGTACTCCACTTCAAAACCTATAAATTTAAAATTCTCCACTCCTTCAAGGTCATTTCATCTTTTGTCATGTTTCCTGTTTAAATCTTTATAATCCTAACTGACTTTCCTCACTTATCCCTAATTAATGTCCTTTCCAGTTAGAGTACCAATGTTCCATATAGCCATTCGAATGACGTCATTTCTTAGACTTGTTGCCGTGAATTCCGCCCATTACCAAGGCTCATTATTTTGCTCTTTTTCATTCGGAAAATAGATGGGTGATAAGCACAGACCTGATTACACCGTTACCTCGGAGTAACTGGCTCCTTGAAATACTCAGGAGGAGGTTAAGGTGTAAGGATGTGATAGGGTAAAGATAGTAATTGGTTTTGTAAGATAAGACAAGAGCTTATCAAGAGTTGATACCTCCAGTAATATATAAATAGAGGGAAAATCTATAGTTGCGTGGACAGATTCACTAAATCTCCCAAGTGGCTCTTTCTTCGATGGACCGACTAGATTACGTACCTCGTATCCCCATCATTGAACTGTGGTCCTAAATACACGAAGGTTTTGGCTGAGTCTGGTTTGATCCTTAAATAAGTTGTAGAGCACCCAAATTCTTCCCGACCATCAGACGATCTAAGAGACACTATCGGTATTAGACAAGACATATTATTCGCAGGCAGTGAAATCAGTATTCCGTTACTTTCCTAATAACTAACTAATGTTGTAAACTCACTTTGGGTTTAATTAGTCAATCCAAAATGACAATTAAAACCGTTAGATGCCAATAGATTCGAACTGGAGTTTTACTGGAACTATTATTATTTCTTAAGTCACCTAGCCTGATTTTATCTCCAGCTATAAGCGATATAAGAATTTACCTGAATTCTGGATGTTAACGTAATCAATTTTATACTATTATTATATTACAGAAATTATGTATAAACTATCAATACATTTTCAGAGGTCATAATTAAATATTAAAATAATGGGTGATTAATTATATTTTTAATATATTCTTTCAATTAGTAGGGTCTATTTTTTTATTTTTTTTTAATACCATCAATATTCTAACTAGTATTACTAATCAAAATATTCTCATAAAAGACCCTGGGTTACACTAAGTAGTATACGTAGGACATTTGAAAACGATTGAAAAACAAAATTTGATTGATTTATATAAAGATTTTTCCAATAAGGTTAACAAAAATATAACAGAAAGAGATACTGATTTATAGCAGTAAGATATGAGAATAATTAGTAAGATGTCATTAGAAGTTTCATAGGGGTATAAGTGAGAGATATTTTTCAAGTTCATAAGTAAAAAAAAAAACCACCTTGTTGTTAGCTGAATCAATGGTGACATATGCTATTCTATTGGCATTGATTTCCCTTTAGCCTTGTTAGAAGTCGTTTTTAATTATTAGTAATTATAGAGTGTTGAAATTATTTTAAGGTAAGAAGTGAAGCATCTAAGCGAATTAGTGTTTAATTACTAGTTATGGGTTTAGTCGCAGGCACTCTTCCCGATATCTATAATTACTTCCTAGTGGAGATCAATGTATGCAGTTAGCTGAGTTCTCCAACCCTTTACAATTTCTCATGTGATTCTATTTCCTTCGAGAATATAATTACGCGAAAATTTTGTTAAGTTAACAAATCATTTAAAGGTACTAATAATTCGTAATTTGTCGAGTGTTTTTGGTTGGTTGGTGTTGAGGTGAAGTTAGGCCTTTGTGACATTTGTTTATTTTAATAGGTTAACTGTTTTTATTGTTATAATACATAAATCTCAAATCATTTAAAGGGTAATGATTATAATCATTATTTGTATCAGTGTGTTTTTCGTTTTTAACGAAGTTCTAAAATTCTAACCTTACCTGTTACATAAATTTTTGATCTCTGTTTTTGTGAACTTGTAATTAAGGTATTTTATGAATAGTATTTTAGTTTACAGTGTTTCTCTTCAAGTTTTTAAATGTAATTCCTTGCTCATAGATATTGAATTCAATATTGTGATTACATCACTTTTTGTATCATCCATTTGAAACATGTTCTCTATTGCATTTATTCATTTTAAAGATAAATGTTATACTAAGTCAATGTTTAAATTTACAGATGTCTGTCACAACACACAAAAATCGGTATAAGAATACCGGTTTAGATTCTCAGGAATTGAGAAGAAGGCGTGAAGAGGAAGGTGTACAATTACGAAAACAAAAACGTGAACAACAGTTATTTAAAAGAAGAAATGTTAATATCCCGGCACTGTCAGATGAAGATAATTCAATGCAGGTATGTATTTTTAAGTTAAATATTATATGAACTTGAAAATGCATGGAATATTTGATTTTGAATTTATGTTTCATAATTCAGTACTCAATTTCATTGTAATACTAATATTCAAATTTTTGTCTTGGGGATAAAGTTACTTAATTTTGTGCAATTGCTAATTGGTATAGTTGTGGTTTACTTATAACTTTGTTTTCTATGATGGAAGTAACTGCAATTAAGGGTCTGAGGCATTGTTTGATTTATTTTTATTAAAAGAATCTTTATTAATCTTTTGGAAACTACAGATTGTTTTACTAAATCTTTAGTCAGTGATTAGATCATGGTTTTTTTTTTTAGAATATAGTTTAGTAAACCATTTTGTTTTCAACTGTATTTGTAATGTAGTTTGTGAATAGTATATAATATACTTTAATTATATTTCATTAATAATTTAAACAATTTGTTACTAAGGTTATATATTTAATGTTTGTATTTTTTATTTTGAGTAAAGGATATATATCTGTGTTAGGTGCAATTTTGTGAATTTTTAATGTTATCACTAGAAAGCTAACATTTCTTTTCTTTGAGTCTGCTTTGCTAAGTTATGTAGTTATTACATAGACGAACATTTCTTTGTAAATCATTGGTTGAAACTCGAAAATTGATCTTGCACCTTTGAAAATTCCTAACTTTCAATTGTGTTTTTCCATAAATATGATGTTTGTACTTAACCCACTATGCACAGATATATGAGATGTTTTAATTTTCTCTGTTTCAATTTTATTTAAAATTTCCCTATTGTGATTTATGTTGTTTTTTAGGTAATTTACATAATAAGTTATGCAAACTTGATTTATGAATTTCAGGAGATTGACAGGGTAACTAATGTTTGTTAACAGGGATGAGTGTGTTATGCCATCGCTTTAACAATCACATTTAGTCGTGGTGCCTGTTTGATTTAGACCTGGTTGGGTTAAAATTTATTTAGACATTCCCAATCTGGCTAGATTAGGTCGGTAACCTGTAAGAAAAATAACATGTATCTGTGTGGCAAAAATGGTCTGGGTAGGAAATAAAAGAGAAAAAAAGATTAACATTTTTTTTTTGTATTTATTAAAAATGATTATCTCAGTGAAAAAAAAAATTGATAGTCACATCTCTTTTTTTTTTTTTTTTTTTAAGGTTTATCAATTATTTTATGTATAATTTATTCTCTTTCACACATTTTTGTTATTTACTATGTACAATTCAGAGTTTGTTTTAATGTTTCTTCTTTGTAATGTTTGTTACTAATTTTGCAATATTTAGTCAAGATTGTGGTTCAATGATTCTGTCAAATTTTTTAAATAAAGTAAATTATTATTGTTGTTTTTTATATCCTATTTATTTAATTATTTAAGGGATAACAACCCTTACCACGAAGCTTTCGTGTAAAAGGGAAGCTTTCGTGTAAATTAGTGGCGATTGATCATTTCAACCTTACACGAGATGAACGAAGAAAGAGAACAAGTGGGAGAATTATTGTGCTGATTCTTTCAAAAATCTGTATTGGAAAGAGGCAAGGGAAGATGATAATAAAATAAATAAAAAAGTATTATTTATTTATTCAAAATCCAGAATATAATATTTTTATATTTGATGAAATCTTCAGGTTTAAAATGAAGTTTTTGAAAGATTGCTGAATAATAGCTGACAAATTATAATTAAAAAAAAAAAAAAAGATCATTGACTGTACATTTGGTAATCATTAAATTAATTAAGTATCATGATTGTGATTTGAGTTAAGATTCAATATACTTATGCTAGTTTGAGATATATTGTTATTGATGACCATTTACTTAAATTCTAACGGATTTAAATAAAAAGGTTCTTGTAAAGAAATGTAACCCGAATTAGTCTAGAATTTAAACATTCTGAGACTAAAATATTCTATTGCCTGTTCCCATTTAGACTTAGTTTTTGTGTATTCCCGGAACAATGGATAGGTTTTGCGTAGTCTTGGTTTTATTTCTTAAATATATATTTGAAATAATAAATGTCAACACAAAAATAATTTAGACCCGGACTAACATTATTAACAGTATAATTCCATAATGTAATATATATTTTATAAATTGTACAATCTGTGGATGTTAGAAACTCTATTTGACTTATTATTTATATCAAAATTATAATTTATCATTAAATTTATCGGTATATTGGAGAGTTAATTATATTTATACGGAGTATCTAATGAGAGGGGAAAATCTCAAAATTTTAATATTCTGTAATAGTCAAGTTTATTCTTCAAGATCATCAGACAGTAAGTTCAGGGAATTTTCTAAAAATTTACTGTTAAAATTTAAACAAAAAGAAAATAATAAAACTACTCAAACAATCCTAGTTTTATCTATTTATCTGATCTAACGTACTTGGTGCGTCTTTTAATCTGTCCTGTGTCATAGGTTTAAATAATAATTGTACATCTCAAAACATTTTTCTGAATTAAAGCAAATGTAATTTCAACTCTAAATTTACAAATCGCATAAATAGAAAGAGTAAATAAGACTTAGTTATGTACTACAAAGTGACTATTCCTAGTTTTCCCGAACTTTCAGTCAACTAAAATAAAAAATGTATTCAAATTTTTTATGCAATTTTTATTGTAACTTATAGTTATATAAAGAATTGTACATTATAATTGTGAATTATAATTATCTATTCCCTCTCCTCCCCCCTCCCCCCAGAATCTTGTTTTGTACATCAGACCTCTGCCAATATATTTTTTTTTCAGAATTTAGTAAAGAATTTTTCTCGACTCCTTCATTCATTCCTTCCCAATGTTTTTTTTTTAAATTGGAGATAAAAAATTGATATGTTTGGACATTGATGTTCTAATAGTCAATTTTGGTTTGACTTATTATTTTAATTATTTAGTCTTCATGATAGTCAATATATCAATAAATATATTTAAGGGATAGGATATTTTATTCAAAGCCAGGAATTCGACACCCATTTTAATTTTATCTCTTTCCATATCTATTGTAAGATTATTGATTATTATTTTTTTTAAATTATTTACTTCTGAATTTATTGATTTAAGTTTTCTTTTGATTACAGGAAGAGAGAGTTTCAAATGGCGGCATAACTCCAGATATGGTTCAGGCAATATACAGCCCATTGACTGAACTACAGTTGGAAGCTACACAAAGGTTTCGTAAACTTCTTTCTCGTGAGCCAAATCCTCCTATAGATGAAGTAATAGAGACCGGAATTGTACCACGTTTAGTTGAGTTTTTAAAGGATCATACAAATTATACCTTACAGGTGCCTATTTGCTATATTATTTTTAAAATATTTTATATTATATTAGTTCTCTTTCGTAATTTTAATGGAAGCAGGTAAATGTTTAGTTGCTGTAAATATAATAATGTTAACTGGCATTGTATAAATAGTTTTCATTGATTTACTGTATTTGCCCAAATATAGGTCTAGGTTTTTTTTTTATAATTTAAAATGAGGGTTGGTTCTTAAAAAATTTTTAACCATATTTCCGGATTTTGAAGTCACTTCAAAGTGTATTTTTGTTCCTATATTCATGATGAGAGATTTCATACAGTTAATATTTTTAATAAATGATGACTCATTTTCTTATAACACGCTTTGAGGAAGGAAAATACAAGGTTAATACTTGTTTAAAACGGGAACAAAAGAAAGGTTACATAAATCCAAAACAGATCAATAGCTGTAAATCAAATAATTTACATGGCATTACCAGCAGGAAATGTTTAATCAATTTTCAACACAAATTGGAAACCAAACTACAAATTAAACCTATTAGTTTTTATTAAAACTATTTGAAAATTGATTACAGCAAGAAAAAAAATATCTCACAGAAATGGACAAATTAAAATCTATTAATTCTATGCAACAAATACAATTTAGGTACCTGTGTTATTAATTCAAAACTTCATCATATTATTTTGAACATATTATGATGCTATTTATTACCTCATTTCTTTTATTTCTTCCACATACGTTCAATTTAACCTATTAAATAATTTAAACTGTTGTTTAATGCCTTTGTTTTTTTAAAGACATATTTTAAATTTAGAAATTAATTTCTTTTTAGTAGAACTTTTCCCCTTCTCTGTTTTTCCTCCTGAGAATTTTTTTCAAAATGGAGGGGAGGCCAACCTATCACAAGCAACCATTGTATTTATTTTTTTACATAATTAAGTTTTTAAATTTAATGAATAATAATGGTGTTTGATTCTATTCTTATGTATTTAATTTTTTCCAAGTATTAGTTTAACTCTAAAATAAACCGATTAAGTGTAAAATTTATTTATAAAAACCTGAGGCTGATATCACTGTCACAAATAAAAAAATTAAATAATGATAACATATCAACCATTAGTGGTCATTTGGATTCTGTTTTCAATTTATTTCATAATCAATATGCTATCTATGATAATATATTTGTTGGATAAATTTTAGATATCCGGCTGAAATTTTAATTTTTTTTTAAGTAAAGTTTTACCATTTTTTGTAGAGTTAAATACATTGTTTTAATTATTATTATTTTATTTTAAACTCACTTATTGCTTTTCCCCTTGATAAATTTCATCTGATTATCTAAGGTTTTTCATTATTCAGTACTTATCCAAATCATGTATGTATTCCTCAATCCCTTATCATGTCCATCAATCCATGTTGCACTTATTATGCACTTAACTGTCTTAAAAAATATTTTCATAAATTCATAGTTAATATATATACTATAATATCTCTCTTATATTTTACAAATAATAATATAACCTTGTAGATCACTTTATACTGTTACCAAAATAAATAAGAGATTGTTAAATAATAAAAGTAATAAGAGTATTACATCAAATTAAATCAAATTTATATTTGTTCTATCTCAGGTTACTGACAATCAGATCAAAGCACTGAGATAAACTATTATTATTTATACTTAAATTAAACACTGATTTTTAATTAAAGTATGAATCGTCAAGCTAACCTTTGTTCTATAGATACTGTTTCTTTCTTTGTTGCACTAAATTCATGTTTCTTCAAATACTTTCCAATGTTCTGCCAAACACAACTTCCAAAATGGTGATACTATCAGTGGGTTTTACCCACTGGAGCCAGGATCCCTTCTTATGAGATAATAGGATAGGTCCTATCTTCACTGCAGTCAAACAACAACTGCTTTGCCAAAAGAAAATCCTTTGTCTTGTCCCTCTCCTCTTTCGGGATTTTCCTTTCTGGGAAAACTACAGAGCAGTTATTTTCTTTTCACTGAACTAGTGAAACTAGATTAGCTTGCTTTTTGACTGTAACATTAATTTATTAAATCATTTTTTAAAACTTTCAATTAAGGTGTATATTACAATATTATTAATTATAACAATGAAAAATATATTATTTATTAGTTTGAAGCGGCTTGGGCTTTGACAAATATTGCATCAGGAACCTCAGTTCAAACCAGGATCGTCATAGAGGCAGGGGCCGTTCCTGTCTTTGTTCAGTTGTTGTCATCGGAATATGAAGATGTTCAGGAACAAGCAGTCTGGGCTCTCGGTAATATCGCAGGAGATTCACCCGATTGCCGTGATCACGTATTAGACTCGGGCATATTACCTCCTCTTCTTCAGTAAGAACAATAAATGTTTACTTCATATTAATTTTATACTAGCACACCTTACAATGCTAATTATATAATTAATTTTATATATAGTGAAATTCCTTTCAGATATTATTTTATAAGATCTGTCTTGTTTCGTCTGTTGGTTTTAGTTTCTTGATGAATAAAGAATAAACATAGAAAGATAAAAGAAATAATAAAACAATTCATCAATTTATCAAAACAGTCGAAATTGACTCTTATTTACAAGCACCGTGACCTTACCAGGACTAAAAAAAAAAAATTATAATATTAATAAAATAATGTAATACAAATTTTATTAACATGAGCAAAAAAAAAAAAAATATTTTTCTAATTCTATTGATGGTTTTGGGTCATTTTTTCATGCTGACTGAATTTCACTTAATTGTTTTGCTCATATAAAATTTTCTGACACAAGTCCATTTTATATTTTTGTTTTAACAGTATTTTATTAAAGTTCTATGATAGTTCTGTTTGACCTTATCCAGAATAAATTATTAATTTGTATCTTGCAATTATATTCTCCAAATTATAAAGATTATTTAATATGATTAAATACTTAGCAACCATCAACAGTTGTGTTTAACTACTTTGTCGTCATCAGAATTTTCATAAAGAAGTTATTTTCATCAAGGTCATAAGCAGATTTCACTTTTTCTTCAGAAAAGTTTATTGCTATTACTATTTAAAAATATTTTTATATGAAATAGAATATATACGTAGAAAAACAAATTTTAGAAATTGATTTGCTTGATTTTTTGATAAACCTTTTGTATTACATACGTTTCATTTTCTTTCACATTATTTCTTTTATGTGATAGGGTGATCTCATCTTTCTTTTATGATTAAATATAAATGTTTCATAGTCCTATTTGAAATAAAAGTAACTGTTATTCTTAATTATCAATGGTAGTATAAACAACTGAAAATAACAGTTTTTCTAAATTTTAAGTCAACAAACTTCAGACTAGTCAGTGGATTGTAAAAATTATTGTTTCATTAATTTTTCTCCATTATAAGTCCATAAACTGATATCACATGTAATCTTAAAAATTACGAGAGTTTGACATTAATCTATTGTTATTTTATTCCAGTTTTATTAGCTAATTGTCTTTATTTTGATAGATTACTCAGTAAAGCCGACAGATTATCTTTGACCAGAAACGCTGTTTGGGCGTTGTCAAATTTGTGCCGTGGGAAGAACCCAACACCTGATTTTAGCAAAGTAGCACCCTGCCTTCCGGTGCTCGCTAGAATGCTGTTTCATACCGATGCGGATGTGCTGGCTGATTCCTGCTGGGCACTCTCCTATCTATCAGATGGGCCTAATGAGAAAATTCAAGCTGTTATAGATGCGGGAGTCTGCAGGAGACTAGTCGAATTATTAATGTAAGTTCTTTGACATATATTTAAAATCTTAAAATACTTTACGTCTATCGATCTTGCCTTCTTACTAAAACCTGTATAAAATCATCAGTAGTAGTAATTTAAGTTTAAATTAATTCTTAAAAAATTAAAATTTATCGTTACAATATATTTTATCATTCTCATTTATTTATTTGCAGGAATAATCAACACAACGTAGTGTCAGCAGCTTTGAGGGCTGTTGGTAACATTGTAACCGGAGATGATCAGCAGACACAAGTTATTCTCCATTGTTCCGTTCTTCCATGTCTCAGAGAACTTCTTTCGTCATTTAAGGAATCTATTCGTAAAGAAGCGTGTTGGACGATATCGAATATTACTGCTGGAAATAGACAACAAATTCAGGTAATGACAATCTTTCACTTAAAATTAAGTTCTCACTTGCTCACTCGCTGAATGATTGATAAATATATCTTTAAAAAAAATGACAATGCTTAAGAAACTGAAATTTTGAATGATAGTTCTTATGCTGTATATGTGCAATAAGAATATATTTAGAAAAAACAAATTTCTCTGTATTTGCAAAAAAATTCTGAAACCTAATAGAGTTCTTTGATTAACCTTGAAGAATAATATTTCTGAACCCTAACAGGCCGTATAATATAAAAATGACTGGTTTCCAACAAAAAAGTTACCATATTTTTTCTTCAATGTGACATAAATTCTTAATAAAATTAATATTCAAAATATAACCCATTATGATACACTGTCATTTCCCATCTTGGATGACTATTGAAAAATTCCTGAACCGCTGTTTCAACTTCTGTTGTGAAATGTATCAAATCATTTTCCTTTAAAGAAGGAAGCCATGAATCAAAACAAATAAAAATTTGTGGAGGGAGTTCTGGACCGTATTGTGGGTTTGGAAGAAGTTCGATACCAACAAGATTTTTAAATGTTTCCTTGGTCTGTCGGGAAGTATGCAGCCAGGTATTGTCTTGCTGGAACAGAACTCCATTGACCAATAGATGACAATACTCTTTTGACACTCCACACTCTGGCAAGATCAAGAGTACTTTTGGATAGATTTGATCCTACAGCTTGCTGTTGCTGAAGAACCCCATAATCTCGAGTGATGGTCACCCTGAGCTCTTCTTTCTTTCCAACGACTTATCTTGACCACAATTTTTTAAATATATGCCTTACAGTTCGCTCATCGATGACAACTTCTTCAGTTTTTTGGTTTCAAAAGCCGCTTCAGCGGCTGAACAATATCTTTAAATAACTAGGAATTTGTATTACATTATCTTGTTGCTTTTTCAATAAAAACTTTTGAACTAACGAGCCAGTCCATTGTTGGTAAACCATAAATAGTATTAGCGTGTTCACAGTTCTTGGGATTTATGCATTTGACGAAATGATCATTTTTTTTTTTTTTTATACAGTCTACTAAATGAGTTCTTTTAATAACTTGAAAACTATGAAATGTGCTGGGAAGTTATAGAGATTCATTTGGAAGATAATTTAATTCTCTGTAAAACCAAAAAAAAAAATATCTAAATTGGATCTTATCAAACTTAATATATTTTTTTTTGTTTCTGCAATTTTATTTTCCTAATTATATTCTTGTGAAAAATCAGTATTACTGATGATGTTTTTATCCTTTAGTATGAGTCTATTTTGTAATTTTTTTTATTTACCAAAGAGAGTTTTAATTTTTCTTCTATATATACCCATGCAACATAAAAAATTATATATTTTTTATAAAGCCTCTAGTATTGTGGATAAGAGTATTTAAAATTTTAAATATTGTACTAATTATAATGTTGTATCACAACTATTTTGTTAACCTGAAAAAAATCAAGGTTTCGGTAGACACTCAGTAAAATGGTCGATAATTGAATACTGGAAGCTCCAAAAAGTAGTCAGTCATTTTTAATCTAAACTCAATAAATTAGAAGTTATGAAGAAAGGATAATTATGTCTTATAAAGCTTTTCTTATTTCTCTTTCAATATTTATTGTATACTTATTATTTTATTTTATGTTATATCTTATTTTCAGGCTGTCATAGATGCAAATATATTTCCAAGCTTAATTGAAATTTTGGGTAAGGCAGAATTTAAAACAAGGAAAGAGGCTGCATGGGCCATAACGAATGCAACTTCTGGAGGAACTCCTGAACAAATTAGATATTTAGTCGACCAGGTATTTTCTACATTAGAGACATGTCCCAAAAATAAAATAAACATTACGTTTTTATATTATTCATTTATGCTACATTTCAATTGATAAGTTACCTTATAAGTGTAATTCATAGTTTGTGTTCTGTTTACTAACAAGAATAGGAATTTATATATATTATTTTAGGGATGCATTCTTCCACTATGTGAACTTTTAACAGTAATGGACGCAAAGATAATTCAGGTTGCTCTAAATGGATTAGAAAATATTTTAAGATTAGGTGAACAAGATGCTAGAGCTCAAGGAACTGTAAATCCGTACGCTGTAATCGTCGAGGAATGCTATGGTGGAGTATACATTTTAAACAAAGCTTTGATGGATAATAATTACATTATCTTGACATAGCTGTATTGGTTTTATTTATTAATTTTTTTCTTTACAGGTCTCGATAAAATAGAATATTTACAGTCGCACGATAACATGGAAATCTATCAAAAAGCTTTTGATATAATTGAGCGTTACTTTGGTAGCGATGAAGGCGATACTGCTATTGCGCCAAATGTTGTTGGTGACGGAGATAATAGTCAATATGTGTTTAGTCCCCCTGATCAAAATGTGCCAATGGGAGGCTTTAATTTATGAGTAAGTCTTTTAAAAAATTTTTATTATTGATTTTTATTGAATTTAATGAGTGTTAATACTTACGTTAGTTTTCAGTAATTCTTTCAATATTGATTTTCTTCCATCCTTTTTAATTTTTTTTTTTTATGTTTAAGCAATTTAATTAGTTTAATGATGAGCAGTATATAAATATTTAACTGTTAATTGCATCTATTACAAATATAAGACTTCCATTCAATGTTTACCACTGGCGTAATAATCCTGCTATTTTATCGCCCTAAAACCCTTATCCTATCTATCTACATTGATATTTGTTTACTGATGTTTCCATATTTTAGTTCAATTTTTACATCCCTACTATTTTCAAAAATTAAAAATATCTAACTTTTTTTTTCAAGTTATCGAATTATTATGTTGATATATTTGAAAACTATTGATGTTTTATTTAGTAGTCTGCTCATGTTAGGGTTGGTATATGTAGCATTACAAATGGCTTGTTATATTATTAAATGATGGGTCTTTGACTTCAATACTTTTATTTAAACATATATATATTTTTTATTGGCAAAAACATAATTTAAGGTATATACATATTTCAAGGTATATTTACATATTTTAAGGTAGTCTATAATATTAAGGTTTAGTTTATAATCAATCATCTATTTGTGTTTTAGATAACCATAACTTCTGCAAAATTGCTGAAAGGAGTTACCACTTGCGGTGTCGGTGGATATGGTTACCAGCTGGTAACTATTACCGGAGAGTCTGTTAATGGCGCCGCATTGACTAATGAAATAATATAACGTTTTTGGCACATCATGTGCAATCTTACACGTAGATCCTTCAGCTCTCGTTAATGACTCATGACTGCAATAGTTCTTTTATTGCAAAATTTTGTAAAAAAAAAAACAACAAAAAAAATAATTTAAAATATCCAAATACAAAAGATGACTTCTTAGTTTATTATTTTTATCATTGATTTGTCAACCTGGAAGTTTTTAATTGTGTTTAGTTTTCATTTGAATGAACTATATAATTGTAATATAAAAGTAAATATATGCATATATATAAATATATATATATAAAATATACAGTAATGTTGAGAGCATTACAGTAATATTAATTTTGTATATTAATCTTCATGATTTAGTTTATTTATTAATATCAAAATAAATTCTTTAATATCTTATATTTTTTCTTTACAAACCTTTCAAAAGGCTATATAATTATTTTTAATAAAAGATTTGTTATTGAACAAGTTTGGTCATTGATTCCTCTTTAAAAGTATAATAGATGGTAGACTCACTTATTAATGATAGGCTATTATATCTGAGATGTTTTTTTAATAGCAAATTGTTTTCTGCCAAAGAATTCTTTTGCAAATAAAAAAGTGTGAAACAAAAATTATATCTAGTTTTAGGAACATATGATTGTCTCAAACGTAAGTTATTAAATGTGAAAAGTCGCATTTTTCATATTCCTCAGTTTAAAGATGTGTTTCACTTCGACTTTCAGATTCTATGCATGCTACTCTTGAAATACTAAAATGTGACAAATATGAAGAAATATGTTTTTTCATGGTTCATATTTGAAAAATTATATAACAATCAATCTATTTAAGATATTTTAAATAAATAAATATTCATTGATTTTTAAATGAAAATATTAAAAAATACAACGTTGTATTTATGTTACCAATAGTAGGTTTTAAGGATGAAAAATGGTCAGTATGTGCAGTCAAACAAATTTTTTAATTGAGTTTGACGACATTTGGACCCAAACATAAGGATCATCATCGAGGCTAAGAAATAAAAAAATACTAAATAACGTTAGAAAAATAATTTATGTAAAAGTATAAGAAAAATGTGGAATGTTCAAATGAGATAACATTTATATAAACATAATAATAAAAATATCGCAATATGAAATAAGCCAAATAGTGTAAATAAAACATTTCAATAAATAAGAAGTATGTAAAATATGTTTTTCATATTTATTAATCATTTTCTTAGCATATTGCAATATTTTTATTATTGTTGTGATTATATAACCTTTATCTCATTTGTATTCATTTCTATCTTTTCCTTCTCTTATACTTTTGTATTTGTCATTTTTCTTATGTTATTTTGTATTTTTTTGTGGGTCGAAATGTTAGCAAACTCAAAAAAATAGTTTTGACTGCACATCCTCATTATTTTTTAATCATACAATTTCAATAGCCAGTTATATACTCTTTAAAAAATATGTTTTATTTTTTTATGTGTCAACATATTCTTATTTGAATAACAGTTCCAAAGAAACAGGCAAGTTAAATATAGAATTGCTTAGAAATCCTGTATGCTAATGAACAATTTGCATATTTTTTTTTAAATATTTATTTTTATCAATTATCAACTTCCATTTATTTTGAATTACAACTATGATTTTTTTTTTTTTCTTTCAAGGTTCAAACCAAAGGTATGAGTTTACAACTTCAAAGTTTTGAACTATTTAAAATGAAAATAACTTATCTAAATTATTCGCTCCAGAGGTGAACGACTGCTTTGGTGTTGTTTCATTTAAATACTATATTAGTAATTCCAAAGATGGATTGGATTATAGATCTTGGAAATAGTAGCTACATTTCATCGATTGCAAGTAACTTATTCAAAAGAAACATTGCCGTTAGCAGTTTTGCCCATCTATAAATATTAGTTTAGAGTACACTAAATAATTTTTAGTGTCTGACATATGTATAGGTTTAGGTTTGATTCTGATACAAATCGCCGGGAGTATCTGAAGATCGACTTCAACTGTCGTCTTACTTGCGATCTCCGTCTTCATTTATATCTACCTACCCTCATACGATCTTTTAAATTAAGTTCTGTTTCTTTGTTCACTGCTGAAATGTGTATTACAGTTTCCTAATGTATTATTATCTGAATTTCAAATAAGAGTAAAAATATAACAAAATTAATGATAGCTACCTAATTAGATAAACTAAATGACAAATTTGAATTTTAATTTTGATTTTTTTTTTCATATTTAAGGCAATACTTCCAATTTTCTTCAAATTTTTTAAATTACATTTGTTGTCTCTTACGTTTCGGGACAATTTTCCCATCATTACAGCAATCTTTATCTTTATTTTCTTTTTTTGATGTGGCACCATTTATCAAAAATCAAATATTTGTCACATTTTTTAAAACTATTTTTTTGGTGTTGCACATCTTTATATATTCATTGATACAACTAATCAACACGTGGCTATCCTTAGTTTTCTAAGGTTCAAAACCAAGGATAGCCAGACGTTGATTAGTTGTATCAATGAATATATAAAGATGTGTAACACCAAAAAATAGTTTTAAAAAATGTGACAAATATTTGATTTTTGACAAATGGTGCCACATCAAAAAAAGAAAGTAAAGATAAAGATTGTTCTGATGATGAGAAAATTGTCCCGAAACGTAAGAGACAACAAATTTAATTTAAAAAATTTGAAGAAAATTGGAAGTATTATTGCCTTAAATAAGAAAAAAACTATAAACGTAGGCTTCCAAATAAAAAAGGAAAAATAAGAAGATTTAATTTTGATGTTTTTCGTTATACATCAATGTGAATATTTTGATAAAATGTTCGATTTAGTACCATTATCATTTAGGAACTTAGCAGCACATAATAATAACATACAAATTTGTATTTAGAATACTTGTAGATAGTAATTTTAAATTAATGATCATGAAATGGTTTATTAATAAAAAAAGGTTCTTATATACATATTACACTTAAGTTATTGTGATATATAATTCATATTTACATACAAAATTGTATTAACTAGGTATTCCTTGTGACATAGTAACCTGTCAAAGAGATTTTCACAGGCAATATAGTTAAAAATCTATTAAGGTTTACTTTAAGAAAAGACCTTATATCTTATCTTCTTTATATTAACGCTTTCTCTATGTATTAATTTATTTTATTGTGTTATTGCCATAAGATTTAGATCAGTGATGAGCGTATCACACTTTTACGTGCGGCCCTTAATGAAATTAATAATGGAATTGGAATGTGATTTGAAGTATTTAGATTACAAAAAAAAGTGCTTACTTTTAAAAGTTTTCTTCACCGTATATTATTATTAACTTAAGTAAATAAAATAATAGATTTACAAACCGGCACGGTTTCAATAAATAAATTTCAAAATTTTGGCTTACAGAATTTCTTTATATGAATTTATAAATAAAAATCTCACTAAAAGTGAGGATACAGCATTTGTTACTAAAAATAGATTATTTTTAATTATTAATGAATGATTTATTAAAATATTTAAAAAAATTTGTTAGTTCCTGAAGAGCTGGCTGTCTACTAAATTAAACATTCATATTGCTGCCTAATAAAAATCAACATTATAACAATACTGAACACAATGAAATTCAATATTGGCATTTCATTTAGAGTATGTAAGGTATCATTCACTTTATTTGTTCTTTTTTACTGTTGTACTTGAACTTCAGATAATAATCGATTTGGATGTTGTGTAACACATTTTAGAAAGGAACAAAACCTAATTTAAAAAACTGCATTGAAATGAGAGCGCATAGCAGGAATAGAACCAGAGATTTATATTAAGTAAGGCGACATCCAAGTTTATCTCCAGAAACTCCTTAAATTTCTTGATACCTCCCTCTAAAGAACACTCAAATTTAAATCCAGAAGTTCATGAATCTTACAGAATCCTCTCAATTTTGTCTTGATTTAGCCTTTTGATGTTTACGCATTGATTCCTTTTATGTTTCAATACCTATCCCAATAACCTAATACATCCGAAACGACAATTGCAACGCTGTTGTCCCAATCATATTAACATAATATATTTTTGCAGTTATGTATTGTGTACTATTCAAAATCATACAGTTTATTAATTTTCTCCAATTTGTATTTTTTTTTTTTTTTTTCAGATTCGCTTATGTTCTCAATAAATTTTTCTGAAGTGACTATTTTAAGATTTAAATGTTTTTAAATTTTATTCTAACAATGAATAAAAATATAGAACACGAGTTGGAAGAAAAAAAAAAATCAGTTACAACAATTTTATAAGTACCTTCGAGGCTCGGATAATTTTTTCATCTAATCTTATGATGTAATCCGACACTATTGACTGCTAGACAACATGATATCTTTTAATTCAAATATTTATCTTCAACCTTTAATTTTTCAGAAATTAGAAACATGTAAAACTAGTTTTTTTTATTAATTATTCACAGATTTTTATTTCTAAAGATATTTTCACTTAGTTTTTATTTTATCTTATGGATTAAAAGAAAATTTAACTTAATTTTTTAGTTTCGTATCTAATGCTTTTTTTTTTGTTATTAAGGTATCTTTAGAACTAATCGAGTTTATAACAAAAATTACGTTCATTCCAATATCAATTATTCACATCGTAAATATTGACAATTTTTTTGGGAGGGGAGAGGGTGATGGGGAGACGATGAAATAATGCGACTGCTTCTTCTATGACATTTTTCTATTATAACATAAGGAGATTGTTATTTGTTAAAAAAATTTAAAGTATTTAATTTTGACTTCTCAAAAAATGTTGCGCATATTCTTTCAAATCTGTTTTAACCTAATTCTGATTCAAATTCAATTTGCATGTTTTATGAGATTTACTGCATACAAATTACCTGACTTAATTTTGTTGTAGAATCAGTAGATATTTTCGACTCAGTAATTTTCTCATTTATAGTAACTAAAAAGTTACGAAAAACTCCACAAGACACTATCGATGTCTTCATATGCCATATTAGAATTTCCTATTCATAATGTCATTATTATCCATGGTGCTACAACTACAACAGAATCATTAACTCCTGCAGCTTGGTCTGTCAGTCTTCTGATTGGTTGTCACCGCTCTCCAATTGCAGATTTCCAAGATGGACATCGCATCCTCTACTACTCCATCGGAGCCAAGATTTTCCCACTCTTGTCCCATAAATCCTCTCGCCTATGACCATCCTAGGAATCTAATCCTGGTTTATTCTAATTATATGACCTGTCAATCGATGTCGTCCTACTTTTATTACCCTTCTGATGTCTGAGCTGTTGTAGTCTCCTTATCCCTCTGATTCCATTGTTGCAAACTGGGCCATGAATTCTCCTCTTGAACCTTAGGAGAAGAAGGATCTCTTGTGGACTGGGTAATGACAGCATTCGGAGGCATAAGTGAAGACTGGTCATTTATTTGCTGACATAATCTTGCGATGGATCTCTGCTTGTATGTTATTACTCCGTGTTTACTTGTGTAGTATTATTAGGTGTCTTTTAATCAGGGAAAAATGATAAGTCACCTTAATGTATTTTTTTTCTGTTTTTTAGTAATGCAAAAAAGTTAATTTTTAAAATGGTTTCTCTTTCATTATGAAAGGATTGTATTTATTCAAAGGGTTTATTAATTTAAAGATAAATTTCTCACTTTCGGTTATTATGGCTTTCAAAGTTTCACATTTTTTTAAATAGTAAAGTCATACTCAATATGGATTTGTTAGATCCTCTTCATGTTTTACAATAATATTAATATGCTCCTTCATAACGTACACCATTTCTTGAGATTAAAACTTTGCTGAGAACATTTTATCTATTATTCTCTCAAAAGCTGTAAAAAGATCAAAAATTCATTGGACCAGAAACAAAAAAAAAAAAAAAAATACTACACCTACTGGATTATTATTATTATGAAAATAAGTGGACCTCTATACTCAGTACCGAGAAAACTACAAGAAAAAAACTGTGAATTTCTGTTAATCATCATAACCGAAGTGAGAAAATTTTTCTATAGTAAAATTAATAAACATTTGGACTTCATAAAATCAATTTTTCTTTCTCTATCGTGGAAAAATTTCAGAAACTACAATTTTACAGAAAAAAATATAAATTCCACCAATAGGTTTAACAATATTTTAAAAAAAGTGATAAAAAGATATTTGAAATATGTATCATAATCTCATGAATCTAGTTTAAGAGATGCCTGAAAAATAATAACCATAAATAAAATAAAATGACATACATTTTTTAATATGTTAAATGTGTTTTTATTCTCTTTTATAACTTTATAGTCACTATAAATGAGAGCAGGAAAAGTGTACTGTCTATAAACCTCAAGTTTGTGAGTGCTGCAAGTGTAGCATATTCATCATATATGTTGCATTTAAATAATACATATGATCAAAACAGAAAATTTTAGTACTTTGATATCCGGCTATTTTATAAACTTAATCTATTTTTAAGGCAAAGGATATTTTTTAGGAAAAGAAGAATTTTTTAGGAAATATAATTTATTTATGACAATATATTATAATATCACAGACCATCATAGAAGTAGTAGTAAGCACATATTTTTCATTTACTGCAAGTATGTCATAACTCAAAAATTGTAATATTTTGAGTTTATAACAGGGACGATTCTGAACCTAACAACTGTATTTATAAAATAAATAAATAAATTTTGTTTGTTTTTGGGCAGACCGTTACACATGGAGTTGAGTTGATATACATGAAATCAAATTAAATACATTAATAGTAAGAACCAGTAAAATAAAACAATTGTGTTTGATACAATTATACACTATATTGAATAAACTAAACATAATGTAAAACTATTCATTCTTGAATAAACATAAAAAGATTCCTTAATTTTAAACAATCTTCGACTCACCAGTATAAATCATCAAATTCATATTTGTTTTCAGTATGTAATAATTTTACTATTTGTTCTTTATCGTTAGAATTACCAACAATAAATTTACTTAAATACTTACTTCTAAAAGCCTCATATGTACAACATTGCTACAAAAAATGGTATAAATCTTCTGGTTCATGTGTATTACAAATTGGCATTCAGCGCTCCTATCTAGAAAAACTATTTTGAAAAGCCTAAGAAGTAATTTTTAAGTTCTCCAGTTGCACAGTCTTAGTTGGCTAACCATTCTATGCTTTCTTATTGTCCCTTAGTTTTTAGATAATATTCACCCATAGTAAAGCTACTAATTTTTCTAAAATTTTGATTGAATTTAGAGTTCAATATAGATTGAATATCGAGGGAAAATTTATACATTTTAAACTTTTCAATAACATTTTTACATTCCCCTTCAAACAATTCTTTATTTTTAATGTTTAATAATTCAACCGAGTCTATTGCTCTCAGCATATTTATCAATTGTTGGTACCAATTATATTTTGTGTTAATTAAATATTTAGAGGAACGTTTTCTTAAAATTTGTGAACATACTTTTTCCATTCATAAAATATAAATACTCACAAAGTAATATTATAAATCATGATATTAACTTGTAAAGGGGCCAAATTTTTAGTACTTCAATTGAATAAAATTACACAAAATTTAAAACTTGAAATACATCATGTGAATTTTGAGTTCTGATGCTGCAGTAAATGAGCAATATGTAAATAGTAAAATTAAAAATAGTTTATAATATTAATCGCTCTAATAGTGTAAAATAATATTACACTAAATACTTATATCATAAATTGTACTTATTTAGTTTTAAATTATTTTTAAAAAATTAAGTATTTACAAAATAGAAAAAATAAAAACAATTTTTCTTATTTAATAAAATACTTATAGAAATTCTACCATATTTGCTAACTAAATGAAGTAAAATAGACCACTGAATATTTTATGATTTGAACCAATGTGAATTTTTTTATAATGGAAAGAAATAGGCTATTATCTGATTCTGTTTAAGCTTATTGGATATAAAGAAACATTTTGTTCAAAAATTATTTTTTTAATATAAAGCCCTAAACCCTTTCGTTCCCTATTGTCTTTTGAAGGGAAGGTATCAATTAAATCCAGGGGTGCCCAGAAGGGGGTTTCATAGCGCAACTTGCTCCATCAAATTTTTGAGGGGGGACATATTTTGACGCATTTGATTGACGCACCCCTGATTGAATCTAAATGTGATTTTAATTATTTTATTGCAGTGTATTGATGGCTTAGATTTAAAACCATAAATATAAAATTTTCTCAACCAAACAAAAAAAGTATTTCTATCAGATAATTATGAATTTTTTTTTTGTATTTTCAGAAAACATTGACCACTGAATAAAGTAAATGAGTTAGCATTAGTTATTTACAAGACCGTAGAATTTATGGGGATTGAACTTACAAAATTTTAGAAGTAAGTCATTAATATAATAATAAATAAATTCATCTTTTGGTTTTATTTATACAATCTATGCTAGTAATTCAGGAATTTATCCACATTGATTATGATAATAAAAAAGATTGCACTGTTAGCAGGTATTTAATAATCTCATCCTAGAGTCATAATCATTTTCTTTTTTGCTTTTAAATGAGTAAAAAGGCAAACGAATGTCAGTAACATTACGGCAAATGAACTCCATAGAAATACTTGTTTCAGATAATATGCGGTATATGTAGCATGATAAATGACTTCTTTAGCGAAACCTTGTACTTCCCCGATGCCCTGCAATAAAAAATAATTGATAAATGAAGTTATATTATTTTAAAAAAATCAAGAATATATAAATAAATTAAGATTCTCAAAGTACTGCATAACTAAAGACATTAAATTAGTTTGAACTTTCCATAGGAAGATGTTAGTTCTGAAATTAACCAATTTTTTTTTTTTTTTTTTTGAGCCGTGAGAGTCAAGTTTCTAAAGAATCTTAAAGGTAATTTTTATTTCACATAATCCCAGATCACCAATTTGGATTCCGCTCCTCCCATTCACTATATAGCAATGCCATTGTGTGGTAGACGTAGTATCCTCTGCATTGGAGCGCGGTATGTACTGTACGGGAGTCTTTCTCGACGTTGAACAGGCGTTTGATAGAGTTTGGCACCCAGGACTGCTGTACAAACTCCGAAAATTCCTACCATCTACATACTTCCTCATTATCCGTTCCTACCTTACTGATAGATACTTTAAAGTAAATCACAACAATGTCTATACATCCCGCTTTTCCCAGCCTGCAGGTGTTCCTCAAGGTAGTATCCTAGGTCCTATCCTTTACACAGTTTATACAGCTGACATCCCAACACTGTCATCACTACATATGCTGATGAAACATGTATCCTATCAGTTAATAACGACCTATCTATTGCATCCCAAACTCTTCAATCCCACATAACAAACCTTGAAGAATGGTGTCAGAACTGAAGAATTAAAATAAATTCCATTAAATCCCATCAAATTACCTTCACCCTTCGTCGTAAACAATGACTTCCTGTCCTTCAGTATCCTTTAACAACACCTCACTTATTCCTGTTGAACAAATCCGTTACCTAGGACTCCATCTGGACAAACGTCTAACTTGGAATCCTCATAACAGACTGAAACGACAAGAAACAGCTCGACGTTTCCGACTACTTCAACACTTACTAGACAAACGCTCTAACCTTCCAATCAATTATAAAAGACTCATTTACATGACTATAATAAGGCCTATTTGGACTTACGGAGTTGAGCTATGGGGCTCCACCAAACCTTCAAATTCCTCTCGCATCCAATCCTTACAATCCAAAATCCTTCTTAAAATCCTCAATGCTCTTTACTTTGTTACAAATAAAATTATCCATAATGACCTTATGTATTTATGTATCAGATTTGGCCCAATTCAGATATCTGTCCTTCTATAATAAACTTCATAACCATCCCAACCCTCTTGTCTCTAACATTGCTTCCTATTCGATTCCTGATAACCCTCCGAGGTGTCTGAAAAGAAGATGGCCACGTGATCTTCTAATATAGACATATTATTAGAGTGCTACCAATGGGTAGTTTCTCAACATGTGTTCCATGTCATTATATCCATGTGCGACCAGATGTATTTTTTGTATACAGTTGTAAATATCATATAAATAAATAATAAAAATAAAAAATTTTAAATTATAATCAGTGGAGGTGTTAGTGTGGGGGAAATAGCCCTGGGGTGCCTGATGGAGGCACTCGCCACTTGTCAGAAATTAAATAAAACATATTAAAATAAGTAATTTTAGCCTGTAAAAGTAGCTACTGTATTAGAGAAAAATATTGAATGAAATTTATTCAAATAGTATTTAATATAAAACCGCTTAAGAAATAAATTAAATTTTTAAAGGGAGAGATGATGTTATTGGCCGGTGGCGCCAAATGTCTAAGTCCGACACTGATAATAATGTTCAACAATCATGTAAAAAAAAAAAAAAAAAAAAAATAGTTTTATTTAGAGGGAATGTTAAACAGAACAACTGGTAAAATATTCTGAAATTCGTGATTATGGATGTAGTATCTTTAGAAATTAACTTATACTTATTTATTTTTATTATTTCTCATGTCATAATTCATAGATTATACTCAGAAGTAGTTAAGAATAATGGATTACTCCTACAGTATTATTGTTGCCTGATAAGAAACTTTGGTACCATAAGAAAAATTTGTACTATAAATGTTGACAATTTTCTAATGGAAATCTTTTAGTTAAAAATGATGTTTTCTTAATTTTTTAAATATTAATCTTAAAAATATTTGAAAAATATATACAATTTGGAATCGTAAGATAAAATTTTGAAAGAAATCATTAGGAGAACTGTTTATTGATTCCTCAAAATGATCATAATCATTATTATTTTTTAAAATAATTATTTTGATTTACTCAGGGGTTGAAACTTTTATACTTTTTTTTAAGTTCCATTTTAACAGCTCCTGTGGAACTTTTTTTTTTGGGGACTTTTTGTAATGAAGTTCCAGGTTTATTGTAAAAGTTTAACTTGGTATTTATTCAAGTTTATAACAAAAAGTTCTGTTAAATGAAAAATAAACAGTAATTAGGCTTATATTAAAGTTATGTTTGTCTTACATGAATTACTCATGATTTTAATGTGTCGTTTTTTTTTTTAGTAGTTAAGAATAAAAGTCATTTCTTTGATCGACTTTTTAATGAAATCAATAGAACTTTTAAATAAAATTTCTGTAAAACCTATACTTGAAAAAGTTCTAGTTCCAAAAGAACTGAAAAACTATTTACAATAAAAATTCCATTGATAGCATAATTTTTTAAAAATTGATGTTTTTTTTTCAGTTTCGAACCCTGATTTTAACATTTTTGTCAAGCACTACTATTGAAAATGAATTTTCATTTGGTTAAATATGAAATGATTAGTTTCAAAACTGCTTAAACGCTTTATTCATGTTTTTATTTTTCACAAGTTCTTAACTCAGTGCATCAATTGGTAAAGATATTTTGATATTGATAAAAAAGTATGTCAGTCGGAAATCAAAATTTGTTCAAAATCATGTGGTTACAGAGGTCAAATAGGATATAACATACATTGCTGGCACTAGCGGATCCAGGATTTAATTTTGGGGGGGCTTAAGCCCGAAAGCTGTTTTTTTCTTTAAAATAACGATAATTACTAAGGAAAATAAGAAAGAAACTAACTACCTATATGAACTGGTGTTTAAGTGATTCCTAAAGCCCTTTTAAATGTAATTACACGAACAATTATACGTTAAGAGATAATTGTTTAATATTTTTTTCAATAAAACATGGTTATATTTTATCATTTTGGGGGAGGGAGGGGGGCTTCAGCCCGAAAGCCTTTCCCCCCGTAGATCCGCCCGTGATTGCTGGTGTCTTCTGTCAAACTTTTAAAAATGAAATGGGCCATTTTTTAAAGTAATCACTAATTTATCATAAATAGTTGGTTTTAGAATTTTATTAAAAAATCTGAAAAATGGAATCTTTAAAACTAAAATAAATCAAATTTTACTCACAAATTCCAACCATCCAATTGGAAGAACGGTTCCTTCTGGTATTGGGTTCAGCTGTGAAAGAAAAGGACAATGGTGCACGACTACATTTATTTGAAATCTCATCCTTCCGGACATGGGTAAGCCAAATATCTATTTAGAAAATGAAAATATGGTTAGTGTTGAACATAATTTTTATCAGAAGTAAAAGGTAATTTTTTGAAAATTATTTTTGAAAAATTCTTCAAAACAAATAAGAAAAAATGTATGATTACTCACGCTATGAAGATCTATGTAAAATTTATGTTTCTCTGAGTCTGGGTTAAGGCCTGTTACGTTCGTTCGAAGTTCTTTATCACCATTGAGAAAGTGGGGATGAGATACAGACACAGGTGCTCCTGAAATACAATTACGTTAGTTTGTATGTGCTTTCCAAACTTGATATCTGGACCTTTTAATTTTATTTTATGATGCTATTTCAACTCTATAAAGAACCAGACATAGTCGATTATGTTAAATCAAGCCGTATAAGATGGCTTGGGCATGTAGAAAGAATAGGTGAAGATAGATACCCAAAAACTGCTATATGATAAACCAGGAGGCAAAAGAAGGAGAGGAAGGCCCAGACTTAGATGGATTGATGATGTAGAGGACGATTTAAAGAAGATGGGAATTGGACAATGGAGAAGCCGGGCCTTGCTGATAGAGAGGATTGGGGAGACATGGAGGTAAGTAAGTTGTAGAGCCACAGAAGTAAGTAAGTAAGATAATATTTAAAATATGAAGGAAGTTAATTAAAGGCTTCCTATTTTGAATTACCAAATATCGCTTTTTTCACTATTTATGAACATCATTTCCAACATTTTGTAAGGATGGTTATACTGATTTGACATGCATAATATTGAACACTATAATGTTAACGATAAATGCTCATCATTGCTTGTCTCTTAAGCCCTTTATAAATAATGGCTTATTTAATATAGAAAATATACTATTTTCTACAGTTTTGAGGAAAAAAATTTGCTAAACAATTTTTTTCATTTATTTATAATTTTATTGAAATTTATAACTGTATTACATTAAAAATACAACAGGTAAATGTGACATTGGTAACATGACATGTAAAATATGAAGAGAAACTACCCATTGGTAGAACTCAACTTGCTAAACAAGAATTTCAAAAATGCAATTTTTAAAACCTTTGGGTAATCTGATTTTTTTTTTAAAATAACAGTCCAGGTGAAAGAACATGAGGCAGAGCTTCATACCAGGCTGTAATTTTCTTTGTGATTGAATAGTACATAATAATAAATTTACCATTCCTCTGTCTTTGCGGCACATCAAATCAGATATCAGAGGACCTCATCCTTTCAAGGTTCAGCCTTCTTTTACACCAATCTATGTAGTGCCTTTATTATTGGACTCAACTGTCAAAGCTATAATAAGCTTTGTTAAGTACCTCAAGGAAGTTTCTAAATTTATTATTTATTTTTTTTATTCTTAACTTGATTTTAAGAGGGAAAAAAAAATGCTAATATATCTAATTGCAGAATGTATCTTACCAAAATTACATTTGCTGTTGCTAAACGTTCCCGATGGTTGACACTTTTTCTTTTCACAAAAACAAGCATTATCTGGATTTTCTTTAGGGGTAGAAAAGACATTAGATGGCAACTCAAATCTTTTTGAAGGGAAGTCATTGATGATCTGAAATTAAATTATAGACGGATATTTAAATTACATCTGTAGTCACGTATATAATTTTACTTAATGATTATTTTACTAAATATAGATTCTAGAATTATATATTAACATGAATATAATAACTTGAGAGATAACTGTCCTAAATATAATATAATCATTGCTGATAACATAAATTAAATATTTTTAAACAATAATCTTATTGCTAAATCAAATGTTTGTTTCATTTAAAAAATATAACATGCTTTATATTACTTATTGGAAATTTATATATATATATATATATATATATATTTAATAAATATATATATATTTATATATATATATAATATATATATATATATATAATATATATATATATATAATATTATATATATATATATATATTTCATATACGTAATATAAATCATGTTATATTTTTCATATCATTGCATATTTTGTATTACTTCTTAAACTGTTAAAAGTTGTTGAATTTATATGTATAAATATATTTTTATTACATTTAATTTAAATGTTTTTAGGGTATGTTGAGTCCAAAAAAGTAAATCATATTTTTGCAGACTCCATTTGAAGAGCTCTATAAAATACTTAAGCTCTTTTGATGTTTTATTGCTATTCCATTTTAATAAGGTATGTAACGATTTTTATTAGAAATCTCTCATGGCAGACTTAATTAAAAAATGCAATCTATTATATATCAATAATTGTAATAATAGTCAAAGTATGCTTCAAAAAGGGTTTTTGAGGGAAATCAAAGGAAAATATTAGGACTTATGACCTAGTTAGGAGGTAAAAGGGACATTGAAAAAAGGCATTTAGGAGGTCCTTTTCTTTAATTGTTTACTTAATTTAGACTTAACCTAGTGATAATTCTGTTGTATACAAAAAGCTAGTACATTAAGATTGATTCCATTTCTTTTTGAATTGTTGTGCTTTTGTTCATAGTTTCTGAGATATCCATTCTCAAAATGTGATCATTTAAAAAAAAAAAAAAAACTTCTTTTCTCTCCTTTTTTTAAGCTAAAATCTTTGGTCCTTTGCCCTATGAAAAAGTAATGAAAAGAAAGCTGCGGAAAATTTAATTTCCTTTAAGAATATGTAAACTTATACTATTTTATTCTGCTTAATAGGACACATAGAATTAGTGATATAAGTGAAAAATCAAAAAAATGAATCTTCTGGGTTTCACTCTGTGCCCCCATTCACTTCAAAGGAATGGAGGACTTTAAGTTTGTTTGTTCCCCAAATATTGTAAACAAAGTCCCTAAATCGAAAATTGTTTTTTATTATTCAAACAACTTTAAGGTCAAAATAGTCACAGACAACTTTTTTTATTTATATTCTTTTATTTTTCCCAAAGTCTATCATGCAACTTCATTTTATCTCCCTCATGCTGAATTAAAAATCATCCTTAGCTAAAATCAGTGTCATTTTTGATTTCTCAAGTTTTCCTATCATTCACTTTGGATTTCATGGCTATTTAAGGGTGAGTTCCTATGTGTTATAGTTAATGATTAATTGACGAATTACATTATGAAAAAAAAAGGAACATATTTAGGTATTGTTCAAAATATTTTTATCTCATAGGATAAAAAAAATAAATAAATAGAAACAGACATCTATAATTATTAAAAGATGAATGGTACATAATTAAAGCAGTTATTTTTTGTTTGATTATTGTAAAGAAAAATACAAATAAAATAAACTTACGTTTTCTGTACCATTGTATACCAGAGGTATTCTTCTACAAAATCGTGGGATATACATGTAAACTCTTGACTTCTTTTGCACAACTCGAGGTGGAAAAAAAGTCCCATCACTTCCTTTTATTTGGTTACATTCTTCTGTTCTCCAGTATTTAAGAATAGTTTTTCCATTATAGCTTGAAATCATTCCAAAATCATTCAAGTCGGTTGATCCAGTTCCTATCGTTATTTTATCTGGGCTGACCCCTTTCCTCTGTAAGATTATGAGTACAATTTTTCTTCATTCATTAATTTATAATTGTTAAAGTTTTAAGCCACATAAAAAATTGTACAAAACTGAAAAAAATAAGCTGAAGATTATCAGGTGAATTTTACTGAATATTTCTGGTTTATACTTTCAAAATGTTGTATTGACTATTTTGGAAAGAATTAAAAATAATTTTATTTTTTATATAAGATAATTTTTGTTTAAACTCATTTTGAAAATAAACCAAGTGCCTTGGTATAGAAATTGTGGAGCTACGGGTATCCTGCCACCCAATGCACCTTGAAGACCATGGTTCATAGCAAATGAGGTTGGTTTATCCTCTCCAGTATATCTCAGCTCCCACAAAAAATATTAAAAAAACTGCATGGTCAGCAGTGCCAACTGATAAATATGTTTGTGTTATATAACTTCAATGTATAAACACCACATATAGAGCTTTGTAATCAGAAAATTCTTTGGACTTATAGCAAGAACACTAGATTTATTTTACCAACAATAGAGAAGTTTAAAAATTGGTTTTCCTATTTTAAAAAAATACTTACATCTGCAAGCATTCCGAATTTAGGTGGGGTTTGTCCTTTCAGAATCGATGTGAGTTTTCTTGCAACTATTGAAAAATCATCGTCAAATCCATCAACAAATTCCAATATATTAACTGGTAAAAATGGTCTGGTGTCCAGTCCTTTCAAGAAAGCTGCTAATGCAATCTGTGTTAGCACTCCTTTTTCTGCACCTTGTGCGGCTGCGCTCTGAAGAAATGGAAATGAAATAAGGTTTTATTCTTCTTAATTAAAAAATCTTTTTAGACATTAGAGAACTTTTGTGAGCTAAAATTTGGTAAAGATAGGATAAATTATTTACATTGAATCATTATATTTGTAAAACCGAGGAAAGTGACAAAATTAACACAAAAGTTAATTATATATCTATATAAAATTTCAGATAGTCATTCTTAGGACTTTTATAAAAAAAATACAATAATAGCTGTTTAATAGAAATTAATCAAAATAGCTGTATTTTAATATAAATTAATACGATAAAAGTGAAAAGTTACCATAAAAGGAACATTAGGTGTGTATATAATATCATCCAGATCTCCGATTGAAGATATAGGATCAAATTCATGTATTCTATTTTCTGAATAAGTCAGGGTTCCATTGTCATTAAATGAAATATTGACTTTCTGTGTTCTTTCTCTATAAAAAATAATAGTTATTAAATAACACTTAATATTTAATAACATGTAATAATAGTTAATATTTTAAAAACCATTATTTTATGTTTATTGCAGTATTACAACTATTGGAACAAATTGTGATAGGTATATTTCCCAACTTCTAAAGAGATGAAATGTGGCAAAATATTTCTTAAGATGTCAGTAGCTGAAATCATCAACAGATGTGTTTTATTTTTAAAAACACAATTTTATTACTTTAAAAAAATGAAGAAAAGAATTATTTTTATTGATAATTTTTTATTTACTATCAGTTCCCTTATGAAAACTTTCTGTATATATTTCACGGTCAACGGAAAATGATTAAATTTAAAAAAAAATACTTATTCACTTAAAAAATAAAGATATGAGGCATCTACTAGCAAAATCTAAAACATAAAAAAAAATCAACACTTGTAAAAGGACCTCCATTGATAGAATAAATTTCTGATGATCATTCTGCTTATAATAAAATTGTCAAAAATGGATGTGGGAAAAAAAAATGGTGCTATCCCTTTTTATTAGTTGCCAATAACTTACTTAAAAACGTATGGTCCTAGTTCTTCCACATGTGGATTTTCTTCATCAATTCTGTCAATGTTTGTATAATTAAAAGGGTAAACACTTATTGTTGTTTCAGTATGTGGGGACTTCCAAATATCATAAACGACACCACCTTCTTGTAAAACTAATACCTTAAAAAAACAAAAATAAAAATATATGACTCACTTTACTATAATGATGACAATAAACTAGAAAAATATGGGAAATAATTTAGCTTTTTACATTCAAAACTGCAGTTTCGTAAATATCTGTCATCGATAAAATTATTACACCAGCTAGACTGCATAGGAAGAGTGACAGCTTGAATAAGAAACCTGTAAATTACAAGAACTTTTTAAATTAATTAATATATATTATTAATATATTTATTTTTATTAATATATTTTTAATATATATACATATTGATTATATTATATGATTTGTTTTAATATTGTACAATACAGCTTCAGTTGTGTTAGATAAAGAGAGAAGAAACACTATTATAAAAAAAAATCTTGTACGCGCATCACACGACTTTCACTTATCACCCTCTTCTTAACAAAAATAAATATTTTCAGAAAATGGAAAGTGGAAGTAAAAATGATAGACACTATATTTATTTACATTTCATTGTTAGCATTTTTATTTGTTTAAATATCCTTCTATAGACACAAATTTCAATTTTTATATCACTGTATTCTATACAATTAAATATAAAATAATACCAACGATAGCATAGATGAAAACCGCATATGTATATGTACATAATATTATCGGAATCCGTATTATATTAAGCTCATGATTCATATGGAAGCCTATGTAATATTTTCAGCGAGATCGGTTACGCTCGTATTCCTTTAGTTTTTCCACTACAACTATTAACCATTACTATCTTATTTCTCCTTTAGTTAGTTATCAAATTCTTTTATATTTTATATGTAATTATTTTTTGTATTAAAGATTAATGGAGATCAAAGGAACCTCAAAACGTGTATTTCTGTTGAAAACTCAGGTTAAAAAATTTTCACGATCGCAATACTTATTCTTACTATATATTCCACATATAGGTAAGTGAAAGTAATGAATCTTATCAGCTACAATATTCTGTAAGAGCTGGAATGTGAAAATAACAGTTAAACACATTATACAAGAATGTCCTACACAAAAAACTATCAGGAAAAATTTGAATATGGCACCAACTATAAAAGAATATTTAAGACATAAAGAAAAATCAGTTAAAAAACCATTAGCATTAATTAAAGCAGTGAAATTTTATTATAAAGTTTCACTTTATTATTCTGAAGGTGTTGCTAACGACACTGCTAGGAAGAGGCAACAAGAAAAAAAAAATTAAAATAATGAAAGGGATATTGTTACTCATATAAAGTAACGTATTGCGTAAACTTGAGATTGAGCAACACAGTGTACATAACCTTGTATAAATATAAGCACTAATAAGTGCTAATAAGTTTTATCTTTGAAGATTCAAGCTAACAAATACTGTCATGGAAACTAAATGAAGAATTCTTGCCAACCAGTGTTTTTTTTTGTTTAGTATTCTTTCCTATAGGCAGAGGTGCCTAGAAGAGTGTGCCATGAAACAAGTTGCACTATTACAATTTTTGAGGATGGCACATTTTTATGGGTTAATGAATTTTTGGAGGGAATCATACTTTTGAGACAACTTTCGAACCAGAGAGTAAAGGGAAGAAACATCGTGCTGACACAGCAAGTGTAGTTTTACCACAATTTTTATAATTTTATTTTCACTTGCACTGTTCTTAAGAAGAGGATAAGAATCAAGTTTTTGGAAGATGGAGTGATGGGCACCCATATATATCAAAAAACCATTCATGAAAATAATTAGATAAATCTATATTTGCAGCCCAGAAACAGTTAATTATTTTTGTCAGTATTATGCTTTCAATTTTTTTATCTTTGTTCTCTTTTGATTATATCAGCGTGTATTATTTTTCTTCAGTAAATTCTATATATAATATGTTGTTTGGATTTTTCCAACAATCCATATATTATTATCATTATTGTATACATAATTATCTCAATTGTTTTGTGAGTAGGCTTTATTGTTTTTAGAATTAGGATTCTATAGAGAATTTTAAGTTAAATGCTTTTATCATAGATATCAGAGTGCTGAATATACTTCTTTATGTAATGAATGTTCTTTTTTTTGTTTCCTCACTACTGGAGTTAATGAAACTTTTTAATCTTGCTGAAGATTAAAAAAAAAGTTGTACTCAGAATCTAAAATTTTCACTCGTGTTTTGGGTTTCAGACATCAAGGATTAAATTTGGTTTGATGTTTGTAGTTAAATCGATGTTATGGGCATATTACCACGTTGATTCGACTTTACTGAAATTTTCAGAGATCGTGCGGGTTTGTGTCTTGATGGTCCCATATCAATTCCATACATCCATCCATTACGCCCCAGCAAATGTATTTTCTTAAATTTACCAATATTTCAGAAACGATTCGTTCGATTTAGCACAAAGCTGGAAGCAGGGGTGCCCAGAAGAGGGTTTTACAGCGCAAGTTGGGCCATCAACATTTTTGAGAGGAGACATTTCGACGGGGTTTTGCATTTTTGAGGGAGGGGGGACATTTCGACTAGATTATGATTTTTCAAAATGAAAAGTTTCTAATCAGGGGGCAAGAGGAAATAATTGAACAAACCATTGAAAGTATAATTGAACATGAACTGGAATTTTGAAATTCCAGCTTGCACTGATTTTAAGAAGAGGAGATCAATAAATCATCTTGGGAGGAGTAGGGGTTTATGAGTCATTGATCTTGGGAGGGATGAGCACCCCTGGTTGGAAGAAAGATAGGTATTGGTAAAAAAAAAAAAAAAAAAAAGATAAAGTATTAATTTTAACGAATTATGTAACTGCTTTCTCTTAAGTATGCACAAACGTATTTTCCTTAAATATTTATCTCTAAAACCGCACGTTCGATTTGGTTCAAAGTTAGAAGACAAATAAATTAGGTGTTGATAATCAAATATTTGAGTAGGTATCCATTTCGTCATATTCTTTTCGCTAATTTAAAAAAATACTTCCGCTTTTGAATCTGCAAATGTATTGTTTTTTATACGCCTATGGTTTGAAAAAGGCTCTTTCTGTTTGTAGAATAGTGTACAAATAGCTTAGTATAAATTTCATTGAATTCAATTTAACAATTAAAGTTAATATAAGTAAATGTTAGAAATATAATGACTGTGGAATGAGGAAGGCATTGTGGATTGTCCAGTTTAGGTTTTACTGAATCTTCTCCACAACTTTCGCCTAGGCGTGTATATTTCTTTTACTCTCGAATTCATGAATTCCGTCTTTGTTTCTTTGCAAATACATTTCATGAAGGCCAATTTTTATTAAACCTATGAATTTCATTGTTTTGAATTACATTATCTTATCATATATACATATAAATATATATATTTATAAATTTAAATGAAATTATGTTCACAGAGTGTAAAAAATAACTTCATATTTGTTATTTTGTTTTTTCCTTTTAAAGCTCCACCGATTGGTTGTCGTCTCGATTTCCCTCTCTAACTTCAAAATAGTAAGTTCTTTTCAAAATCCGAATCTTTTCGAGCTAATTATTGTTGAAGTGTGAGATATAAACATCGATACGTTTTAAGCCTTTCTTTTCGTGTAATTTGTTAATTTTTCTCATATTTTTATACTTGTTTTTGAATTAGTTTTGCTCCTAATAATGGAAAATGTCGGTGAGTATGGTGAGGAAGCTATACTGATCTTACGTGATAGATTTTTTAAATTTCACTTACGTATATATGTAATATATAGTAAGGGTAAGTATTGCGATCGTGAAAATTTTCGAATCTCAGTTTTCAACGGAAATACATAGTTTTTGAGGTCCCCTGAGTCCAAATAACCAAGTCCCCCAAAATGATGTGTGTGTGTGTGTGTGTGTGTGTTAACAGTCTAGCGCATAAACGAAAAGTAGTACGAAACTGATATTAAGTATTTAAGGTTTGTATATGGGCCGGATGTGACAGCAACTTTTTCGTTAAAATCAGCTAACCGGAAGTGCCACTTTATATAAATGCTGAAACACATTTTTACAATTTTCTCAAAAACGGCTCTAATGATTTTGATTAAACTCGGTGTATCATTGTATAATTAAGTGGTCGTTAATATCATTTAGGTCTTATCCCCGTTGATGTCACTTACAGGGCTTAAATGCCCAAGCTAATCATTTCGCATTATTCAGAGTTACATAAAATGCTACATATAACTTTTGAAAGAATTGGATAAATTAATAGAGGAGAGAAAAAATAAAAATGCAAGTTACGAGGGATGGTAAAATTAAATTCCGAATAACTCAAAAAGTATACACTTTTTTGTGGATATTGTATTATGTTTTTTAAAATTTTGTGGAATTTCCTAAATATAATGGAATTTCTAAATATATGGAAAAAAAAAATCGTTAAATTAGGAGGAAAGACAGGGTCTCTAGTTTTTTTTCCTGAAGAGGCGAACATTTGGATAAATTTTAAATATACTTTTTTAATTGTTGAGACTGAAAAAACTTTTTTTCTACAGATATTTTATAAAGTATCTTTCTTAAGAACATCTTTCATAAGAAATAAGTACTTACATTTATACCTCTATTCACAGTTCTATATTTCAACACTGCAATGACCACCTCCGGAATCAACTTACTCACTGTCTGCATAGATAACTTTTTCAAATAAAAATATCATTAAAATGACATTACTGAAAAATGTTGAAATTGGAGTTAGTCATTCTGTGGTTTATAAAACCAACGAAAGTTGTGTGGTTTATAAAAGCAGATAGAGTGACTAGATTTTTATTGTCGATATATTAAATAGACATTTTGTAATTAAAATGGTCTTAATGACTTGTTATCAGTAAGCTTTAAGCTTTAGCTCCGTTTAAAATGCACTTCGAAAAATTTTATATTATCCCAGCATTGCCAGACAATAATTTCTATTCAAAGTAGAGTGGTAAGTGAAAGTTGTCTGTTGCGCACACCAGATTTTTTGTTGTTGTTCTCTCGCCGGTACCGTAACGCGAACTCCTAATTATTTTATCATGTTATCTTCAGTTTATCAGGGTGCCTGGTAGTGCGTGTTTCGCCCACGCATTAGCCTCTTGGCCACCCCGCCAACCCAGTGCTAAATGTATTGAAGGAGTTATTTTTCGACATTGAATGGACTTTTGAGGGAGTCTCTGGCATCGAAGATTACTTCTGCAACTCACTCAATTTTTCCTTATGCATACTTTCTCTTATGTTTCTATCTGAGAGACAGAATATTTAAAATAGGCCATTATAATTTTGCTTATTTCTCCCTCTTTCTCTAGATATTGCTAATAATTCTATTAAGTCCCATCTCCTATGCAGATCACACAGCCAGTTCAGACCGTGCCCTTCTCATGTCCTTGTAGTGTACTATTTTAAAATATTATCAATTCCAATATTCCATTTAAAATGTATATTTTAATTTAAAAAAAAAAAATAAAATGATAACGAAGGTTCTCAATCATTTTAACACCCTAATAATTTCCGTGATACTGACCTTTCTGATAGCGAACTAATGGTGATAGTTTGATAACCACTACATAATAGATAGCTTTAATTTGAATGAACCTAAAGAACTGAAGGAATGATAACATATAATATGAAATATAAAAAGATTAACGAATTAAAATATATTAGCAGTCGACATTTCGTCTGGTTTGACGCTTTGCAGATTGACACTTACGTCTTTTCGCAAGAGTATGGAGAAATATTAAATAATATTTTTATTATTAATATTATTATTAAATAATAAGAAAAACACTTAGCCCTTCTTGGGTACAGTATTGATGACACATTATACATAGAACTATATTTTATAAAACTGAAACCCATTTCTCTCAAACATATGAAACACGTTCCCTTCTCTTCCATTGATTTTTTTTAGGGGAGGGGAGAGAGTAAATAATGATGACACACAATTAGACAAATTTCTATTCATACTTAAGTTCACATTTGCCTTTCTTTGAATATAGAGCTGAAGTTGTTTTCGTTTACGGAATAATTCAAAGAATAAACGGATTGGTGATAATCCACTCATCTTCCAATGGTTTAATTTAGTAGAAAATACAAAATCTTTGATCTGTGATCATTAAAACTCCACAAAAATATGATTCTCTCTAAAAAATCCTGATGTATTCCCCACAACAGTCCGTGGTACAGATCTTCCTTTTTTATCAAATCATTAATATCCACCTGAAACTTCGTAAATAGCTTCATCTCATCGTAACCTACAACTATTTTATTTACAAAAACTCTTGGAATTGGGGCGTTTTTAATCTGGAGATCGGCTAACTGTGTATTTTTAATTAAGTACTTCATATCAATTTTCGTTTTTGAGCTGGGCTGTTCACATACATACTCACGGGCGGATCTACGGGGGGGGGAGGGGGCTTTCGGGCTGAAGCCTCCCCCCCCCCAAAATGATAAAATATAACTATGGTTTATGGGAAAATATATTAAAAAATTATCTCTTAAAGTATTATTATTGGTGTAATTACATTTAAAAGGACTTAAGGAATCACTTAAACACCATTTCATATAGACAGCTAGTTTCTTTCTTTTTTTCCAAGGTAATTATCGCCATTTTTATGAAAAAAAAAGCTTTCGGGCTGAAGCCCCCCCCCCAAATTGAATCCTGGATCCGCTAGTGTACATACTTAAACACACAGATCATTTTGCGGGACTTGGTTGGTTGGACTCGGGGAACCTCAAAACGTGTATTTCCGTTGAAAACTCAGATTCAAAAATTTCCACGATCGCAATACTTACCCTAACTATATATTACACATATAGGTAAGTGAAAGTTATTAATCTTGTCGGCTACAATATTCTGTAACAGCTGCAATATCCAAACGACAGTAAAACACATTATACAAGACTGCCCTAAACTAAAAACTATCAGGGGAAATTTGACGAGTACTAAAAACTCGTAAATACTCATTTCCTTTTCACTTGAATCGTAAGATAATTTGATAACAAAACGGAGAAAAAAGTCTGGTCTATAAAAATATTGGGCCGTTTGGCGTGACCTACACTCCAAATTTCAAAATAACGAGGTTATATTCGCCAAATGGCACAATATTTTTGTGGGGCACCCTTTTTCTGTTGGGGTGAAATTATTTTACGGTCTTGTTGGAAACCAAATGAGTATTTACGAGTTTTTTAGCATTCAATTAAACAGACAAAGTTTGCCGATCTTCAGATTGAAAACGCCCCAATTCCAAGTATTTGTAAATAAAATAGTTGTAGTTCACGATGGGATAAAGCTGTTTACGAAGTTTCAGGCGGATGTTAATAATGTGATAAAAAGGGGTCTGTACAACGGGCTTCAAACATTATGATAACACAACTTGAGTCATGCAACTCCCTTTACGTCACGTCTGTCCAGCCTTTATTACTTTTGGTGGAAGTAAGTCCCCTTTTTCTCTAGTCTCGAATGTTCGCTATCATGTTTGTTGCGATATATTCGTATCTCAGAGAGGCCTCTGTTTACGAGCTTTCATATTTATTCTTGAGTGTCATGGATTATTATGGACTGGTAATATTTCATTGTTCCATCTGGACTCGAAGATTTCAAAGTATAGATAGTTTTGTAGTTGCACCAGGAATGAATATACTTCCAAGAAGATTATGAACTATTCACCTTCCACTTCTAGATTTTTCAAACGTAGTAGCTTAAGATGTGAGGACATCTCCGGAACGAAAGATCATTGGGATTCGACGTTCTTGTATCTAGGTCACGAACTGTAGCCGTTTTTATCAATTGGATAATTTAATTTATTTTTAACCGGACTGGTTCAATGGCAAACCTTGATTCCCCGAACGCGTAAATAACCTCTCTCCCTCCTTTCCCCCACAAGTAAGAGTATTTATCACTTTAATGCTGGGTCAAGGCACAGGCGGATTTCCGGGGGGGGGGAGGAGGGGGGCGCTTTCGGGCTGAAGCCCCCCCCCCAAAAAATGGTAAACTATAACCATATTTTAAAGAAAAAATATTAAAATCTCTTTAAGTATTCTTGTTCGTGTAATTACATTTAATAAGACTTCAAGAACCACTTAAACGCCATTTCATATAGGTAGTTAATTTCTTTTTTTTATTTATTTTGTAATTGATTATCGTTATATGTATATGAAAAAAAAAAATCTTTCGGGCTGAAGCTCCACCCAAAATTAAATACTGAATCCGCTAGTGGGTCAAGGTGACTCTCCTCTATCCATAGACAGTATTTTCTAGGCACATTTCCATAGCTTGTAATTCACGAACTTTTGCCTTTTTATATCTAAAATCTTCTCTAATTCAAGTTCTCAACCCTCTCCCAATCAACAAAATCTCGACTTTCTGACCGTTATACGCCTTTTTTTTTTTTTTTTGTATAGAAATCTACCATTTCAACAAATCTTTCTTGGTTTTCTTTCCACTTTCTAGAATTATCTCTCCCCTTAAATCCCCTGAAACATATTTAGGAAAGACATTTAGGGAAGGTTGGATTATCAGGGATTTCGAAAGATTTTCCTGATTTCAAAGAAAAATAATACGTGAATTATTCATTTAAAAATATTCGTTACTGAACTCTCTCTCTCACCTTTTTTTGACAATAAACTCCGTTGAAAAGAAACAGAAATATTGAGTATCCTATGTTTCACTTTTAAACCAGGTTTTACTGATCACTGTTGAAATTTTTATTTTTAAGATTTAAATAAATCTGCCTCATTCCAAAACTCCTTTATTGCTCGCTCTGTATATTTCTGGAATTCCCTCCCTATCAAAATTCCACATTCCCCATCCATATCCACATTCAAAACCCTCCTGTTCAAAAAATAGTCAGATAGTTGCTAACCATTTGACAACATACATTTATATCATGCCATTCATTTTCAAATATCAATGCTATTCTTTGCTAAAGATATTAATTTTCTTATAGGGAAAAGATTTTCCTACTCTTGATATCACTGAACGCATCTATTGGTAGTTTATAACTATTATCTTTTATACGCCACTAAATTCTTGCCTATTGTTACGCTAAGAAATGATGATGATGTATTAATACATTAATCAACATTTAAATGATAATGTATTCACATATTAATCAGGCACTTTATATTGTCAGATTCAGCTTTCTGTTTTCGCAACAGAAACACAAAGCTTATTTTAATGAAGAATTTAATATATTTTTATTTTTTAATTCTTTATTGTTTTCTTAAAAGTGTATATTGGTCTATCAGTGCAAATAACTTTGTCTTGTCATAGTATTAATTGTTTTGTATATAGAATGTTTACATTATATTTTCTTTACATTATTTCTTATTTTCTATTGATTTTATTTTGGCCAGATGTAATCTTTTAATTTTGTTGTTCTCAAGGGACTCTGTCCCAGAATAAAGTTATTTTCTATCTATCTATCTATCTAAATCCTTCAAGTTCTGAATTCCTAATAAGGGACTACGGCTAAGTCACCAGGTGGCTAAGATATTTAGCTTGACCGTTTGTAGGTATGTAACGATTTTTTGAGTGTGAACAGCTTAATATATTTTCGAGTAAGATAGCATAAATCACCTGATCTCACGAATGTTGTAAAACAATTTGAGGTCACAACATTGAAAAACAAAATCATTTTATGTTAAATATTATCGATTTTTAGTCGACCTCGATATTACGTATGTTTGTTTATAAGTTCATATTCTTATGCCATGAGTGTAAATGGCAAAAACTTGAAAAAATAAAAAAATAAAAATAAAAGTAATGTAATTTTTTTTAAATAACCTCTTATTTTAATAATATTAATATATTACTATAATACAGTTAGTAATACTTACACGGTGCCGAGTAGCAGACACTGCACTTGCAGAATTTATCTTCATATAAATCCTTTGAAGGATCCTTTTCTGCCGAGATCTGAAACATAAGTTCTTACGTGAGTTCACTATTATTTCTCTAAAACTTTTTAGTATATATATATATATATATATATATTGGTATAGTTATAATATTATATTCCTCAACTGCCTGAAGTAAAGAAATTATGCGGGAATCAGTATAACAAGTTTTCTTTTTTACATGGAACTTAATTTACAGATTCAAATGTCTCCTGAATAAATAAAACAACAAAAAGTAGGTTTATTGACAATTTTATAGTCCTACTCTGCATATAGAGTGCACATGCATATCTAAAGGTGCGTTTAGAAATTTCACAAAATATAAAAAACACAATTATCTAACTTGAATAACAGCGACCTTATTGCCAAACCAAACTATTTATTTTATTTCTCTTGATACCGACAGCAGATGGAAAATATCAAAAAACTTTTTTTTTTTTTTTTATTTCTTTATGACATTTACTACTGTATTACATAAATACATCAAGTAAATTTGGACATAATTGATATAATGACATGAATACACTTGCTGAGTGTATGGTAGCACTCTAACGATATGACTACATTAGGAGATCACAGGGCCATCTTCTTTTTAGACACCTCGGAGGGTTATCAGGAATTGAAGAGGAAGTAAGGTTAGGAACGAGAGGGTTGGGATGATTCTGAAGTTTATTATGGAAGGATAGGTATATGGAATGGGACAGATCTGAAACATAAGGAACATTAAGATCTTTATGGATAATTTTATTAGTGACAAAGTAAGGAGCATTGAGGATTTTACGAAGGATTTTGTATTGTAAGGATTGGATGCGAGAGGAATTCGATGGTTTAGTGGAGCCCCATACCTCAACTCCGTAAGTCCAAATAGGTCTTATTATAGTCAAGTATATGAGTCTTTTGTAATTAATGGGAAGTTTAGAGCGTTTGTCTAGTAAGTGCTGAAGTAATCGGAAACGTCGAGCGGTTTCTTGTCGTTTCACTCTAGTATGAGGATTCCAAGTTAGTCGTTTGTCCAGGTGGAGTCCTAGGTATCGGATTTGCTCAACAGGGATAAGTGGAGTATTGTTAAAGGAAACTGTAGGACAGGAAGTCGTTGGTTTACGACTAATCAAAAAACAAGATACAAAAATACTAGTATAGTGAAATAATTACTTTTATATTTGTTTGTTCCAAAGCTTGTGAAATGTCTAAACGCACCTTCAGAAATCATCCGGTAGATAAACGACTTTTCTAATCTTCATAAGCCAAAAAAAAATATTCAGTCAAAATTTTACAAAAATCGCTAACGTTTTTCATAGAACTCCTAGTGCCAAAATCGAATTTAAAGTTGCCTAATATGAGAAATATTCACAGTTGTTCTTGTTTACTTTTTTATTTGTAGAAGTTTAATTGAAAACACAGAGACTTTGTTTAGAATCACTGTCTGATTTACGGATGGAGGGGGTGGAGGCTTTCGGGCTGAAGCCCCTCCCCCAAAATGGTAAAATTTAACCATGTTTTATAGAAAAAAAAAATATTAAAAACTATCTCTTAAAGTATTATTGTTCGTGCAATTACATTTAATAGGACTACAAGAATCACTTAAACACCATGTCATATAGGTTGTTAGTTTTTTTTCTTTTTTTTTCTTCAAATTAATTATCGTTATATATATGAAAAAAGAAAACTTTCGGGCTGAAGCCCCCCCCCAAAAATTAATCCTGGATCCGCTAGTGTTTAGAATCAAATAATAAATGGAAGCTATTTAAAATATGAATAATAAATAATGTTTAAAAGATGAATTGCGTGATAACTGTACCGGCAATGGATCAACGATTTCAAGATAATGTAGCGTCATTTATTGTCTCTGTTATGACTGCTGCGAAAAGGACAAATCTATCAATTAAAAATATCTGATAACGGATAGAAGGATCTTCGTCGTAAAATTAAATTACATTATTTATTTATTCTTTTTAGTTTTAAAGGCATTAGCGCCGGTTATAAATATTTGGGGGTCAAGGAAAGTGATACTGTATTTAATATAACCCACTCATCACTTTATATCAGTGTCATAGAATAATTATTACTTGTTTGTGTTTTGGTTTGCTATTTTTTCAGTAAATCAACAACTTTTGAACCTCCTAGATCTCTGTTTCATCAATTTGTGGCTTATATATTTTCTCGTATATTTCTCCACTTTCACTAGCGGATCCAAGATTTAATTGTGGGAGGCTTCAGCCCGGAAGCTTTTTTTTTCATAAAAATAACGATAATTAGTTCGGAAAAACAGGAAGAAACTAACTACCTATATAAGAAATGGTGTTTATGTGATTCCTTAAGTTCTTTTAAATGTAATTACATGAACAATAATACTTTAAGAGATATTTTTTAATTTTTTTTCTATAAAAACATGGTTATGAATCAACCAACGTAGCAATGTGAGAATAAATATTTGTTTACTGAGAAACAAAGTCGATATTCGTTTTTCGCACCTCATAAAAATCTTAAATATGAATTCTTATTGGAATAAAAAAAATAAAATTTTCTACACGAAATTTTTAATTCTGGAAAATTTCTATACCCTTCTAAAATTTCTGGACCTCTGGAAATTTTGCCAACAACCACAAAACTTGTGATAACTTTGAAACGGCTTGACTGATCCGAACACCAATTAATAAGGATTTAGACCCTGTGAGCTATAAAATATAAAACCGATCTTCGTTAATAGGCTAAAACTAAAGATATAAAATAAAAATGGGTTCGAAGTTTTTCTTAATTTCTAGCTTGAAAAAAAAAATCTAAAAGTTATTGATATCAGTTGGAATAGGAGTAATTCAACTTTCCAACGATTATATTAAAGTTGAATTTGAAGAAAATCCTGAGGAGTTATGAATGGTTTAGTTGATGGCCGAAAATTTTATTAAGAAAATCAAGTACTACTCGTTCCTCCAACCCACAACCTCATTTTCTAGCTACTCTCGTCTGTTTACTCAACTGTTGTAACTTTAATATTTCTTTCAATTTTGTTTATTATTATTTTTATTAGTATTATTGCTCATTTTACGCCAGAGTATATTTTCGTTTTCTATTTATACGGATCTACTGTTTTTTTTTTTTATTTTTTTTTTTATCTCCATTGATACTATCTATTATTTCTTCTACTTATTTTTTCTAGTTTCTACTTTTCAATAGTTTTTCTATTAATGTTTCAGCATCTACAGTGTATCTCAGATCAATCCAACTAATTATATCCTTATCCTCCTACCGATTCACTGTCGCAATTTACCATCTCGCACGACTAAGGTCTTATTTTCCTGTCATGTTAAGGCACAGTCACTTTAAGGCCACATAGATGAATTCCATGATTTTTTCCTCCACAACTTCTACCACCTAATCGCTGCTCTGAAACTTGACTAAAACCTAGGATTACACCCTCTCAAGTTTCATTCCCTAACTATACCCTATTCCGTCACGATAGAGAAAATAGAATCGGAGGTGGAGCAGCCATTTTTGTCCATGATAGCCTGAAATCCAAAATCCTTGCTTTGTCTCCTCTCTCCGTATCCCCACATATCGAATATCTTTTTTCTGAAATATCCACCTCCTCATATTTATTGCTCATTGGTGTCATCTATCGACCTCCTAGAATACCCTTTGATGAAACACTCAAGACCATCCTCTACGAACTGAGCCCTTCCTACTCTAATATTGCTCTTTTCGGAGATTTCAATACCAACTTATAATTTTCTTCCTCTAACCAATCCTATTTATCAAACCTCCTCTACTCTCTTAATCTGTATATAGTCCCGTACAACCCTACCCATCCCACCCAATACTCAGACTCTTGACTCAATCTTTGCATTATTGACTCTCTCGATAAACTCCTCGCCTCATAACAGTACCCGGATCATTTTTTGTCTGCTCATGATCTCATACATGTCTCCTATATGAGTTAACTATATGAGTTAATAACCTTCCAGTTCCTCTATTCTGTCCCCGATCCATATCTTTCAGAAACCTTAATCTTTAGTCATCCGAAACTTTGACGCAATCCAATGGGACTTCACATACTCCTCTAACTCCGTTGATTTTATAGTAGAAACCTTAACAAATCAACTGCACATTATCCTAGATCGTCATGCTCCTCTTAAAGTCAGGACAATCAAGTACCCCCAGCCCCTTGGTTGACGCCTGCTATGAAAAATTGTATCAAAAGAAGATACGCAGCAAGACGAAGGTTTAAGCGCATTCGACTCCTCGAAGACTACACGAATTTCAAGCTGCTTCGAAATTGTACGCAGTCCGTGAAACGCCGTGCCAAATCCCACTACTAACAATCCTTAGACAAACCTACCCAAACCCAGACTACCTCTATTTCAGCTGACATGCTCAACACTCATTTTGTCTCCTGTTCATCCTATCCTTCTATCATACATCCACCCTTTAATCCCAACCTTTTATTCTTTTCGCATATTACCCCTGACGACCTCCTTAAATCCATTTGTTAATCCAAAACCAAGATTTCGGACCAGATAATATCCCAGTTAAATTAATTAAATCCTCACTTTCATCCATTTTGCCAACCCTATATCATATCTATAATTTTTCACTACAAAGTTCCACTTTTCCCAGCTCCTGGAAAACTGTCCTTGTTCGTCCACTGAACAAAATCTCTAATCCCACAACCACTAATGATTTCCGTCCAATTTCCCTGTTATCTAATCTTTCCAAACCTCTAGAACGAATATTAAAATCCCAACTATCCCAATATCTCGAACAAAATAACCATTTGAACTGGTTTTAGACCTGACTACCCCACTCATTCCGCCCTCATTAAAATCTCCCAAGTGCTCCACACAGCCATAGATCAACTGAAACTCACCATCCTGATCCTTCTTGATTTCTGTAAAGCATTCGACTCAGTTGACTATAGTATCCTCCTAACCAAACTTAAAAATATTTCCTTATATTCCTCACCTATATAATATTCCTTATATTCCTCACCGATCGTTCCCAGTACGTTCCTAATAACCCTCAATCAATGTCTCTACCT